GCAACAAAAATGCTGTCTTTTTGTGTGCTTTTTATATGCGGAAAAAGGAATAGGTGGCTTTTTTTGGGGGGGGGGCTTGATTATATGAAAATTCTTTTGTTCGGAACCGGGGGGGGGGGGGGCTAGCCCCACCCCTAACTTTTTTTGCAAAGATAGACATAATGTAGGCATTGAACATCGAGGCGTAGGTTTAGCCCCCCTCCCCCCACTTTCAACAGGTGCGTGTATGCTATTTCAGGACACATATATAAATCTTTGTGAAATATTTGCAAATTGTTGAGATTTTCCATAAAGTATACACACGTGTTCTAGATAAAAACACGTTGAAATGACAGTGATTTAACTTTTCAACTTCATATTTGGCGCATCATAGGTATTTTACTCGTCTTGTTTACCGTTTCCCTTGATTAATGTTTCAAATATTTAATTACATCCACTGAATATTTTCTCCTTTATTAATTATGAAAACCTATTGCGTTAATCACTGCATGAACTACATTAGGCATGTCGCCTGTACAGATTTCTTGATCAGTGGCTGTTCCATCAATGGAACGTATAAAGACGTTCGCATCATTAATACAATAATTAATCTTTTTAATCCTACTATAAATGATTCTTTAAACAGATATAAATATAAACAATAAAATGTCTTTCTTTGTTTGTTATTACTGGAATTAATGGTCGCAGTTATTGCAGAAAAAAAAAATTACATATGTATTTTTTTCTGCAACAACTACTTCCGTTAATTCCAGTAATAACAAACATAAAGCATTTTATTGTTTAAATAATCTCCACGCGGAAAAATATCTCCACGCCGCTGCTTTTTTGTCGCTCACTTCAGGTATTATTTCTTGTAGTAAATGCTTACCTTCGCTTTGAGAATGGTACCCAATAATTAATCATGCATTTTACTCTAATTATTGATTCTTTATTTACCTTTCAACGGTCCGAACAGTCCTTCGTGGTTTTTGGAATGTCGATTTAAAAGATTCCCATTTCTACGTCCATAACAACAAACAGTCCTTCTTGAACCGTTGAAAGGTAAATTTACAAATTAAGAATAGGAGGAAAAATATAAGGTTAATTCTCGGATTTCATTTTTAAAGCTGGGGAAAGCCTAAAATATAAGAAATAATACCTCAAGTGAGCGACAAAAAAGCGGCAGCGTTAATCGATTTTTTTTTTACAATCCTTGGATCTGTACATGTAGCTCTCTGCTTTGTCTGTCTGAATTTTCTCAAGCAGAGAGCTACAGTTCTCCAGCTATATTAAGGGGTGTGTTGTTTGAGCCTAAAGGGGACAAAAAGTAACTATAGTATCTGAAAAAATAACAAAATTAATTTTTTTAAGAAAAATATTTGTATGATGAAACGAACTATATCAAAAAACGGCACAAAGATCACGAACGTTGCATACCTTTTTGCATGACCTCTATCAAAATATGGAAGGAAAATCACAAATGTTCCGTACTCTTAGTCAATTGGTAAAGTTTTAGGCTGAGTGGTCTTCAGGGAAAGAAATTAAGCACTGAACAAAGATTTTAAACCTAGAACTTTATTCAAGGTTACTGCACATCCATTGACCATTTGCACTCTGTGAGTGAAGTACGAGCCACATTGGAGCAAGGGTAGAGAAGATATGCTTCGGACAAGGATTTTTCATATAATTCTGTTATGACCTTAACCTTAGAAACATGGTTCAAGGTCACTGCAAACCCTTTACCTAAAGCCACTCTCGTGTTGAAGTATGAGTCAGAGTGGGCCAAGGAGTGAGAAAAGAATTTAAACAGATGAAACACATGGAGATAACGAACAGTATTCAATATCAAAAGTCCATAAAACAATTTAAAAAAAAAACAGGACCAGAGCAAACACGGACCTCAAAACACCAGAGGTGGGATCAGGTGCCATGGAGGAGTGAGCATCCCCTGCTGACCGGTCACACCCGCCGTGTGCTCCTTATCATGATCAGGAAATAACGGAAAAATCCGTCGTCAATTCAGTGTATAATTAATGGACTAACAATTAGTATGAAAAACGTCAGACATCATTAGACTCAATGATAAAATGCATTTGCTGACAAGGTCATTGTATCGACCATAGAACTTACGAAATGATGACTTTTAACGAGACTGCTGATATTGTTTCATCAACTTGTTTGTCAATTATTTACCTCATTTTAGAAATTGTTCATACGTAGAGCATGCTCTTCCGTATCGAACCAACAGAGATATATAAACTCCGTATGCAGGTGATGAAGGTAAGGGAAATGGACGATAGAAAAGTAAAAGTCATCACATTCATGATAGAGCTTGGTTGTTACTATTTTTTACCTTGATCTAGAAACTTGGTTCAAGGTCACTACACATCCATTGACCATTGGCAATCTGTGTGAGGTATGAGACCCACTGGACAAAGGGGGTGAGACCATATACTCTGGACAAGGATTTTTGATATCTGTATGACCTTAACCTTAAACTAGAAACATGGTTCAAGTTCACTGCAAACCCTTTAACCCAAAGACACTCTGAGGGTAAAGTATGAGCCAGATGGTGCCCAAGAAGAGAGAAGATATGCTCCAGACAAGAGATCTTAGACGGACAGACAGACTGATCACTGCAGGGCGGGGCCCTAATAAATTTTATACAAAAGATAAATTGCAAATACATGTACAGTACTTCATCTTTTATTTCATCCATATATAATTTTCTCTTTAGTATAATTATTAAGCATACATTACAATAGAAAAATACTGTATCATAACAAATATGACATTACAAATTCATTTTTAGCATATAATTTAATTTGAACAGTAAACTTTCAATGTTACGTTCCATAATTGTATCATACATCATAACAAATACTAGAACTGTCAAAAATGGACAAATACTAATCAAAGATCAATTCCAAACATTGTTTGTTGGGGTTATAACATCATGTGAAAATACATATCATGTTACATGTAATGCAAGTAATTTTCTTAACCAATACACAGTAGATTTCATTTGAAGGCTTGCACATACTATATACATGAAATAAAAAGTGAGTAAGCTTACATAGCCCATGCTCCCCTGAAACTTGACAATGCGTGACATGGTGCACTTTAAATACACAGTATAATACATTTAAAAAGGGGCATAATTTGCAAAAAAATCATCATATCAAAACTTCTTGCATATAACAACATTCAAAGCTTTCTTTGTAACAAATTAAATTGGGCTGACATTTCTAGATTAATAAGGCCTAATGGAATCAAAATTTCTCGGTAATATACAAATCTACACATTATGTATGAGATACCTACAAAGTTTCAGAAAATTCAGTGCACCAAAAACTTTAACCTTTAAGTTTAGTCCTTAAAATGGTACTTCCTCTTTACAGTTTGTATAGAATTGTGCACAAAGTTCTTTACATCCTTCCACGTTCTCCTGGAAAGTTCTTTTCTCTTTTTTAGGCATTTATCACACTCCAGCTTGCCAGGAACCTTTAGTTTACTTTTTTTTTCTCCGTGTCTGTCCATGGAACTCATTTTGGTTTTGCTTTCAGCGATTTCTCTAAAATAAAATAAACAATGTTGAAATATCATTCAAAAGTTAACTACAATGTGAAATTAATATAATGACTGACATTTGTAGTTCTATTTTTCAGAACAGCTAATAAATGCAATTTTGAAGCCTTTCATACAAGTGGGAAAATAACCTCAAATGTGTTCCATTGTGGCTAGTGGTGTTCCAATCATCGATTATAATGGAAAAATTTTGCTTGCATAATCCAAGTGCTCGATTTTTTTAAAATTCTGATTAATCGGTTTATTAATTTATTTTATAAGCATAAACAATCTTTGAAATTTTCCAGCCACCACATAATAGCATTAACAAAAGTTAACTTGCATTTATACAATAAAAAAGTGAAATTAATATAATGAGAACTGACATTTGTAGTTCATATGATGTTTCAGAACAGCTAATAAATGCAATTTTGAAGCCTATATAACATTACAAGTTTATATGGGATTAAATAACCTCAAATGTGTTCCAATTGTGGCACCTCAACGAATGTTGTCTTAATGAAAAAGCGCAATTTACACACAATTAACCAACAAAAAATGTACATTCCAAAAATGAAAATCAATTTTGATCGATTTTGATATAAAAAATTTAAAGAAAAATCAGTAGATTGCTTGCATAATCCAAGTGCTAAAAGCCTTAAAGTTTTTTGGTAATATTGCTTTATTTTTATATAAATTCATTCTGATTTAATCGGTTTATTAATTTATTTTAAATAAGCATAATTTTCACTCATCCACAAAATGGTTCAATCTTTAGCCAAATTTTCCATGCAAGATTGGTCATTACACAATAAATGAAACCTGCCATTAACTATTTAGTTCGAAGCAAGCCCGGCAGTATAAGGTAACCTTAGGTGTATCAGCATTTGGTCAACATAGGGCATAGTTACGGAAATTGCATTTATACCAGGATAAAAAAAGCAAGCATTTTGTATCATCCATGCAAGTTTGGTATGGGCATACTCTGGGTTTACCTGTTCACTCAAAATGAAAATGGAGAACCAGTATCTGATGTACCATGCAAGTTTGGTCCATATACTAGAAAGTAGTCATTTAACCTGTTCACTCAACCGGTAGATTCAGTGTTTTAATCCATCCTTAGATGTATCATCCATGCAAGTTTGTCACCACAATACTTAGGAACTTTAACCTGTTCACTCAAATGGAAAATGTAGGTCAAGGAAACAAGCCTGGTTGTATCCAAGACACCACAAGTTTGAACCACAAGGACACCATATATAACATTAATTACTCTAAATATGGTTTATATGCACTTGTAAATTACAAAAAAAAGTTTATTAAGGGCAATTAAGCCGTGAATTGTCTTAAAAAGGTAGCACTACTCAGCCAATTAATTAATAAGATAAAAAACTAAAAAATCTAAATTGAAATCACTTATTTCAGAAAAATTATGCAGGTATAGTTCAGAGTGAGATGTATAAAATGTTTATGTATTATTCAACTACACTGTGTATTTCAATACACAAATCAAAAGTCAATACCCATTACCAAAGAAAAAACCCCTGTACCACTAGGATAAGCCAGGGTACCTACAGAATATCAGAATGAGAATGACATTTCATTCAACTTTTAAAAATTCTAAACATAGTTTAAATGCATTTGTTAGTTACAGTTGATAACTATTTATTAGCTCACCTGTGCCAAAGACTCCAGTAAACTTTTCAGATCACATATTAAGGCCACATATTTTTGATTTCTTGGTTTATGGATTTTTTTTTATCCAAACTTGGGGGCGGTTGGGAGAAATAATAAAAATAAAATTAAATGAAGCTTTTGTGAGTTCATGAAAGAAATGCAAGTCAGAGTCATGTAAGAGTATGTGCGTTATATTTTTTAGGCATAAAGTTTTGTTAGTTAAATCACCATACATCATGATACATACAGGTGCCCTGATACATACTGCTTTTAGGATGATTTACTGTTGAATTAGGCAATAAATAGATTATGAACAATGTACATGTAGTTAAGAAATGCACATAAACTATCTTTGTTTATTAACAACGAACTGGATGTCATTGAGGTTTCAGATTTATTGGGATACTTAAGGGTATTATTTGGATACCTAGGGTTTCCTTTGGGGTTCTTGTTATCGTTTTGTTTGTGTATTAAAATATGCAATGAACAGTTGCAATGTTACAGTTACAAAAGTATATAAACCATTTTTAGATTTATAAAGGTCAAATTGTGTGTCATTCGAGTAATTTGGAATACTTTTTAGGGTACATTTCAGGCCAAATGATTTGGATGTCCTTGTGGTAACATTAGTCATTCTTTGGTTAAATGTGCTGGCCTGGTATCATTTTGTTTTGTGTATTGCACAATATGCAATAATCAGTTACTATATATGTCATTTATAAATGCAAGTATAAACCATATATATTTACATGTAAATTTATTAAAGTTAAATAAGAAGTCATTGAGATTTTCTAGAGTACCGTAGGGTATTCTTTTGGTACATGTACCTTTAAAGCCTAGTTTATTTTATGTAGGTAGGTTTTATTGGTTCTGTGTATTGAAATAGTTGCAGGATTATTTTTTTACACCATATAATATTATCAAATTTCCACCCTAAAAAATATACACACATAATTGACATGATTGAACTTAATTGTATACTAAGTATATACTACTAGTACTTTTAAAATTTTTAACTTGGATACTGCTCTGTTCAATTCAATTAAGATGATTAAAGCTTTAATTTGCCCCTCAAAACATTTTTTGTAATTTACAAGAGCAAATAAACCATATTTAGAGTAATTAATGTTATATATGGTGTCCTTGTGGTGTCTTTGTGGTTCCTTGGGGTTTCTTGTGGTTCCTTGGGGTTAAAAGATGTACCCATCATTTATCCATTCCTACCTTTACTTGTTTTAAAATGATAAGACTTTTTAAATAACCAATTATAATTGATAATTAGTTAGTTACAGCAACCCAATCATCGATTATGAAATTCTTACTGATTCCCATCACTAATTATAATTCATTTCTGAATGTTAATGCCTTATACAGACAAATATGGTGATTACATTAGGCCAAGATAAATAGTGTGTTTTCTATTCCAGCTGAGAAAAATAGGGTAGGTAGGTTGGGACAACATTTTATTTCATTTAAACATTTTATTGGCAAGCATGCTGCCATTTCCCCCCTGGAAAGTCCTATATTAAGGGGTTGGTCTGTGAACCAGAAACACACAATTTATTTATCTAGGCCTAAACAGCCCCTAGCCTTATTGTGTGGATTGAAAATTACCTGCTCTTTGTTGAATTGGACAAACAACACTTTCATCTGGGCTATCTTCATGATCAAAGCTATCAACAAGACTCTCATCATCATCCTCCATTCTCAAATCTTTACTTTCTGAATCCACATCTTCATCCTCTTCAACAACTTTATATAAAAAAGTCAAATTTATACATAATAAATCATTTTGAAAGAGCACAATTGATTTTATCATAACCAACAGACACAAACTAACAGAAACTGGACCAACAAGAGGCCCAGGGGCCACATGGCTCACAAAAGCAACTAAGCTAAGTAAAAGCAAAAATTAGTTGAGCATTGAAAAGTTTAAATATAAAAGTGGGGGAGGGGGGTTATTTGAAGAAACTTAATTCTATACATTGGCCAGATAAATTTATCTATAGATTCTCATCCCTGCCCGCCCCTCTTAAAGTGTCCCGCCCTAGTGTTTTTTATTTTGATTTTTGGCTGTTAAAAGTATTTTCATGTATTTTTATTCAGCAAGAACTTGGGTCAAAGTTTAAGAGTTATCTCCAGTCTGTATTAAAAGTCGTGTGCCTCTACTTATAGCAAAAGAGCCATGTGAAGAATGGAGAAAATCGGCGAGAAAAGCAGCATTAATATGTAAGATCAAAAGCCTGAAAGGCTTCAATGGTGTTGAACAAGAAAAACAATTTTTAAAGATCTGCTGATAGGTCATGCGAGTGTCTCCGGTAACATAATAATAAAATTAAACAATAGTCTTGACACAAATACAGTATAAGGTCTTATGTCCTGGTCCGGATGAGGCAGGGTTTGAATTGACCAAACATTACCAGAAATGTTCATGCTCAATATCATGCTTAATCTAATTTCTTTTCAGTCAATCGAGGACCTATAAAGGCTTTCATAAATTATTCTAATTAATTGCTATTGTCAGAGCATTGTTCTGTTGTATAGTGATTGCATCTAAACTACAACCATGACTCTACTGTTACAAGTACGATCAACTTACGATAGGGCGCAGTAAACAAACGGAGGAAATGGATAAGTATACAGTAATGCTGGCATTACTAGTCAATATCATCGGTTGTTCGGATAAAATTGGATTGAAGATAGTAAATGTAAAGCTAAGATTAAGAAAGTCAATCTTTATGATCTTGTTGTATGAAATTCGTGTTTATTTTGTTATTATTTTACCGTCTTTAAGATTGTTTGTTTACAGTAATCTATCCCAAAATGTGATTCGACATGTCATTCAACGCACCCTCTCTGTAGAAATTCATCCGCAACAACCATAACATCTTTCTTGCGTAAAAATTAAACATAATATCGTTGTTTTCTAGTAGAATTAATTGGAGATACAATTGATTAAAGAATCTGGCTGGATTAGGCGAGTCCTATGCCTACGCAAGGGCAGGTAAAATATTGATTAAAAAATTCTTGCAAATTCAACTTTTTGTTAAAGGAGTATTCCACTTAAGTATAGTAGCGTGGTCCCTATTTACACCCTTGGTTTACTGGGTATATAGTAGCAATGGGTATTTTGTTTGATTTCATTGTGTATAACAAAGTATTTCTAATAAAATCATAATGATTTCAAAATGAATTATTAAAGATATCAAAAAGTACAAGCCGATTTTTAACACCATTCGCGCTAAAACATGCCGGAACTTTTCCCCTCCATCAGACTAAGGTTTTTTTGTTACATGTTAATGGGCGGAGACATTTAGATTAGATACTATAAAAAGAATATCCGTGATCTATAATATTCCTTTCAAAGACGAATTATATGTTCAAGATTCACAATCAACAACAAATTTAATTTTCTATTCACAAAACTCTAGCAATGTGCATGAACCACTGTAACAATTAAGATCAACCAAACAAGTCCAAATGCTGACCGATACAGGATCTGAGTACATTTCAACAGAGTGCTTGCTAGCACGTTTACTGAGGGCATTTACCTGTAACGACACGATTCCACGTGGCTTGTTGTGATTCGAAACAGGTCATATAGAGGTTAATTGCATGTAAATGAAGACAGCGACGAAGTTCAAAATCACAATACTTTTAATTAGAAAACATAGAGCACACAGTTGTTCAACAAAGATATTTTTACTCAACCTTTAAAAATATAATATACACAATATATATCAAACTCGACTCTGAACAAATCTGTGCTCGGTGTTTTGAACGGCCTTCGTAATGTCTATAGCAGGATTCTCTTGTTTTATTTAGATTTCGGGAAATTGGGGGTACAATTTGAAGCAAACACAACCAGCCACAGAGTTTGCTGACTTCTTTTAAACGTTGCTTATAATTGTTTACACGGCTGACTATCAATACCCATCATCGAGTCTACTAGTTTATAAATTAGTAATCTAACAAACAAAACAATGTATTCTACATATATGAAAATAACGTCCTAAAGGTTTCGTTTTTCATGTTGAACTTTTTTTGAGTATCTGTTTTTAATTTATTTTCAATACATAAAACATACAAAAATCATTGCTTCTTGGAAAATTGTCCATTTTACTTTCATTATTCTCGGAACTGATCTAACTTTGATGACATATCATGTAAGCAGGCCTAACATATTCGGATTGCATCGTAATGGGCTCATATATAATTATTTAAATCTGTAAACTCAAGTATATCTTCGAAATTAACGTCAATAACACGGTAAAGCGTTGAAACTAGTCACTTTATTCAGTTATTGGTTGTTTTAGAGAATAGCACCTATACATCAATTGTCTCTAATGACATCATGAAAAAGAGCGATAACTCTATCGCCCATGTCTATAACATGTATAAATAACGATATTTGAACAGGTATTTTGCGTCTATATCTGGATTTTTTTAAAAAGAAAAACAACCATACACTTTCATTTAATGCTTTTAATGAATTATAAACATTATTTAATATATAAGATCTATTTTTACCGTACTTGACCTTTAAGTATTTTACCCTGAAAATCTTGAATCCCCAGATCTCTCTTTTTTCAGTCTTATTGAGTCCCAAATAACGAGGTTTAACTGTATATTCCTTTGCAATCAAAGAAAATTTGACTTGTTATATAACTAAAACATAATAAAAACATTAAAATTGTAAAAATAAAATAAAATAAAATCATATCATGAATGAGTCGCAAGGCCAAGCTTAAAAATTCTTTGTTTGCAGTTGCTGACCTATAATTTTTAGACTGGGTAGGTTATAAGGAGGCATTCTTTTTTTTTTTTTTTTTTTTTTGAAAAAAATTCAGATTTTTGTTAGATAACAAATGTTAGAACTTTTCCATGTTTTATTAAGGCCTAAGAAACATGAGTAAGCTCCATTATTGTTATAAACCACTGATTGATAAGAACAAAAGTCAATGATTGAAAATGAAACAGCTTCAATATTCTGAAAAATTGAAGAAAAAAAAATAAAATTACAAAATAGCTAAAAAAAAGTTTGGGTCAGGTGCTTTTTCAGTGTTTTTTTTTTTTTTATTTTATTTTAAGCCTAATTGCATATATTGACTAATTGTGGGCTACTACAAGTACTGTGTTGAATGTAAAAGGCAACTTGAATTGTCCCTTGGAAATTTATTTTCAATTCTTTTTTGAGATTTATGGAAGAAATATATAAAATGTAGGGATGTCAACGAATATTCGAGTACTCGACTATCGTTCGATCATACCGACTATCGACTAAAATTTCTTTAGTCGGTTATTCGTTAAAAATTTGTTTAATCATGTTCATGAAAGTAATTTTGAATTTAAGGCAATAAACTTATATTTGCCCATTTCATTTATTTACAGATCAATATTTTCATATGTAAAATTAAGGGTATAGTTTAACTGTTCAAAGGAAATTATTTGTAGGTCGATGTATGTTCGGCAAACATGTCAATTTAGGAAGAATTATATTAATTACTGGTAAACAGCTATTACAAAATCGTAAACACATGTAAATCGGGGTCAGTTTATATGAGAGTAATTCAACCGTGTTTTCTTTTTCTGATATTAATTTCATACAATCATTGATTGTTTGCTCAAAATTTCATAATTTAAATTTATCCCAAGCTCTCGCTCTTTCTTTGTCTTTATAAGAGACCCTCTTTAATTGTTTACATGTCAAAGATCATTGACGGACACGTAATAATTGGCTTCGATTATGGGGTACTTGTACTACCGTTATGTAAAGAAAGGACAAATACGGGCGTTTGATATCCTGCATTTAGATAAAACAGGCAGCTAATACAGATGTATATGAAATTAAATGCATTGGATACATATTGATGTACAGTTACTTTTTATTACACTAAGTACATGTTTACAATTCAAAAATTTGTTGTACTAGTATAATTGTGATAGCGTAGGTTAAATATTGTAAACTAGTCTAAAAAAGACAAACAGTGAAACTGATACGAAAAAATAATTAAATTAAACGAATATTCGACTATCGTTCGACTAAAGCATCCGACTATTCGACTAAACTGTCCGAGTAAAATTGACATTTTTATTAAAATGATGTATAATCTTTCATTTCTATGCTCACATTAACAAAATTTGCTTTATGAAGGCTTATATATCAACTTATAATACATCAGCTTAAACCATTGTTCCAAGAGACATACATGAAGTTGCTATCATGTCGATAAAGCATCGAGTTTTTTTCTCACGTGATATACATAGTTTTAGACAGCATTAAAAAGTGCGCTATTATTATTTAACCCCTATATATTATCGAAAAGTTTTTAATGTACATGCAAACATCAAAGCATTTGCACATTATTCGAACTTTCGAAGCAACTATTAATGATATTATAAATAATAAAACAACTCCAATATTAAATGTGAGCATGGAGCAATGTCTTGGGCATGTAATCTTTCAAGTTTGGACTTAAAAAATGACAAAGAAGCTCTACGGTTTTCCAGTGACAAAGTGAATATTATGCAGAAACCAACGAAAACCACGTGTCTCCATTGAATCGTAAATACATAGGACTGAAACGATACAGCGTTTTTTTTTCCTTATAAACTGGTACCGATAAACGGCACCGTTCCCAATGCCAAAAAACGTTCATTTTTCCCTATTCTGTGGCTAAATATTCCCAATTCAACTGTGAAGCAAAAGATTACGACGACATCGTATTTCTTGTTAAATGAAACATTGTACAAGTTGACTAATTGTTTCACTTCCGCTTAAATTGAAAGTAGAGAAAGTTGTTATTTGGCGGGAGCAGTGGGTTAGACAGCGTAGTGTCATACATTTTGACAAATTGAAAGCATGACAATGTGAAAACAAGGGACGTTGATATAAAAAATAATAAGTACTTGTTGTTTATTCTTTAAAACAAGCAGTAATATGTAATTAAGTTGGAATAAACACAAAATACGTTGCATTTGCATGAAGAAGAGAAAATTCTCCCTTGTTTTTCTTCGATGTTATTTTTCCCAATTGAACCGATACCGGACCCTTTCCAAATGGGTGGAAAAAAATCGCTGCGATATGCCCCCTCCATGATACGATACGTATTGCAATACTTGTGTCACAATTCAATTTTTTTCAATACGATACAATTTAAGAAAGAAACTATTTATAAGAAAACATATTCAGATTTCAAAAAAGTAAAAGGTGGTGATACAATAGAGAGAAATACTACCAGGGGTATGTAATATAATGTTCAAGTACTAGCCCATGGGCTAGTGGCAGCATTACAGTTACTAGCCCCAAGTAAGAAGTTACTAGCCCAAATATAGGGACAAAAATTAGAATAAAACTATAATGTTGAAAAAAATTAATTGTAGAAAAAGTCAGCATTCTAAGGTCATTCTTTTTTCATAATAAAGTTTAATTCTCATCATTAAAATTAAATCTTATAAAGTTGATGATAATGAAAAAAAATAAAAATGAATTTAAAAAAAATATCTGATGATCTTTCCTTTTCTTATCATTTGCACTAGCTAATTTAGAATGAAATTAAATTCCTTTTGTTTTCATATTAAATTATTAGATACACTAGAAATGTATTTTTTGTGAATCACAAAGCACTCTTTGAGTTGTTTGGGTGATTGTAAATAATTCAATGAGATATATGCCTTTATTTACAATAAACGGAGGAATGGAAGAAATTCGGATTACAAAAAAATGATCGTTTTTGGAAGTAAACAAGTCAAATATTACTGCAAAATGGAGAAAATTATTGAGATTTATTGACAGTAGGAGCATGTTACCTGGAAAATATTCACTGGTTGGGATTTTGATAGCAAAAAAAGGGAAAATACCGGTTGTGCTTTTCATGTATTACATGCAAAGTTATCATTTTTAATAGCCTGAATTTACAAATTTGTTAATTGCACATCTGTAACTACTTGTGGTTCTGTTGATTAAGAGCACTTTATTCGTATCATTAATAGTAGTGACAGCCTGCTCTGAAACTTTACCATCCCATTTTTCTCCCTTGTGTGTGTCAAACTATTAAAATAAGGTCGAACCCGACCTACTTCAAAGAGTTAACCAAACCCGATTATAAAAAACGTATCGAACTGAAAATCGAGATGGTGAATCGAACATTGAACCGAGCAATTATATCGAACAATATCTATATTTCGGTGAATCGTTTCAGCCTTATAAACACGTAGAAGAGTGTCATGCTTTTGGACTCATTAATTTGATTGGTGAACGGGTGTGACGAAGATATTGTCACGTGTCGATAGTTGCCTTCTATATAAGGTAGTAAGTGGTCTCAACCTGATAAAGCTATGTAGGTAATCTGGTAAATAAAAGATTAATCGATTGTACTAGACCTGAAAAGTCCGGTGTTAGTGCAGTGAGCGTTGTGAAGCGATGCTCGTCACTGCGAGCTCTAATGACAAGGCCTGGGTGAAGAGAAAATCCGGAATACTGCACATTCATTTCATAGAATTTTTTCCGCAGTATTTGGACATCACCTCGACAAAAAAAGCTTATTAAAGCAACGTTCTCACAAGAGTAAGAGCAAAAGTTAAGCGAATTATAAACTTGCATGATTGAATGACATTGTTGCAGAAAAATAATCAATAAAATGGTTCTTCATTAAACTCAGCCCTGTTCAGGCTTCAGTTTGGTAAGCAACATGTATATGACTTTATATGACCTCAGAGTCTGAGACGCACCGAATGTCACATGCGGTTTGACAAGCCCAATCTAAATGAAAACTGGATAAGTATCTGTGCTCGCCCTAACAGTTGCACCGTCAACATATTAGAATATCCTAAATGAAATATAGAGATAACAAACTGGAAGAGAATCCAATCCTGTTATGTTTATATACATAATATTAAAATATTGCTTAAATTAAGCTGATGATGCAGTCATTATGACATATTCAATTTGTCCCTTAAACATCCTTAATTATTGTATAATTAAAACCAGAGTTTTGTCAGACCCACAGAATGAAGTTAAATGTCATTTTCAAAATTCTCAAAGTCATCAATACAGGGTTTGAAATTTTAAACATATACTGTAATACAAGCACAATTAAAACAATAAACAAGCTTCATATATCAATACTACTTACTAGCTAGCTTTCCCCTAAACAGGGAATCCAGTCCGAGAATGTCTACCATGCAACACCGTTGTAAATAATGCAAACCATGTCCTAAATTGAAAATTGTACAGACTATGAAGTCCATTAACTCATGATCAAGTGTCATAGTTATAATCCTTTTCAAAATACTGTATACAGTGGTATTTTCACACCGTGTTATTTTCGCTCTTCTGAACTTGTTGACAATTTTGCCCCATTTTTAATTCGCCCAAGAGCCATAGTTCTGTATAAGAAATTTTGAGGTGTAATTTAAATTTGCCCTTTTGAATTTGAATTTTAAATTCACCCAATCAAGGAGAGGGCGAAAGAGGCAGAAATAAAAAGGGGGCGAAAATTTCCTTGTATACAGTAGGCACTGCCACCACCAAGCTAGATCTGTCTTCACGCCTTTCTCAGTCAACTGGTTCTCTTTTCTCAAGACCAAATTATAAATTTGAGAGAAGGCTAATTTAAGCTACATACGGCAAAAGACATTTAATTAAAAAGTTAGAGTATAATAGGCTTTTGACGTGTCTGTTCAGAAATTGTCAGCATAAATTTATGACAATATGAAAAATTCATCATATCCCAATCAGATCTAATATTTCATTAGCAAATTAGTAGATGGAATGTAAGATAATTTTTTTGTTAATATGTAATGTAATATTGTCCTGGTTTTAGACTTCGCTAATGAAAGGATGACGAAAGCAAGACTAAACATTTTTTTTAATTAGTTGATCAATATTGATACGTTCAGTGATTAGTCGTGAAAAAAAGTATCTGTCATATATGTGCAAGTTTTGAAATGAAATGAAAATGTCTTTTAAAGTTTAAATTGACAAAACTGTAAAAAGACCACGACTTTAGCATTACACTTAAAATAGATTTTTTCCAGTAAAAGCACAGTGGTCCACTGACTGACTTCAGAGAACAGGGGCTTGTCACGAAGAAATTACCTTCTTTTCATAAAGTTACTCCAACTATAAAAATACACCCTGTGTATTTTTATAGTAGGAGTAATTTTATTAAAAGAAAAAATTTTTGTGACAAGCCCCTGTGTTCAGAGTGAAGAATCTAATTAGTGATGCAGTCTTCCTTGGATTAATGTTTTGCATGTTAGTGCACTGGCACCTGAATTTTTATCAGTAAGTCGCTAAATATAAAAAATTCTACCCCCTCTATATATATAAATACAAAAAGTGTCACCGTGTGCAACACCATTTTGACCCCCTCCTTGATACAGGCTTCAATTTAACACATAAATCGGATATGCCAACTGGATTGTGTGTAGCACTGGGTTCAAATATGATATTTCTCACTATACATTTCTTCATAATGTTAAAATCCAACGCATGGATAATGATATCAACTAAAATTAATGCAAACCTTAAATTTCGTTCCAGGGCTCGATCGCCATCAGCTGACGTCACGGAAACTTTAATCTCCATACCAAATGCTCTAATACATAAACTTTTTAATACAATAATTCTAAAATTATTTATTTGACAAACAAAAATCAGAAAAAATAAAATACAGAAAGATTATGTTGTTTTTTAACCCTTGATTTTATTTAACATGTTTTATTTATGTATGTATTAGTCTAAGAACATTTGGTGTGGAGATTAAATAAAAATTCAGGTGCGTGTGGTTAGTGTTACTGATTTAGTGCCATTTACCACCCTGTGACCTGAAAGTACAAGTCCTGTTGAGGGGGGGGGGGGTTGATTAATATTGTTTAACATCCCTCTCGAGAACTTTTCACTCAGGTGGAGAGCTGCAAATTTTGTACTTTACTTGGCACTCGGGGCCATTGAGCAGGGATGCCATGGATCTTTTTCGTGTCAGCACCTACTGCTACACGAGACCTCGGTCTATACGGTCACATACATCCGAAGGACCCGTCTCCACGTCCCACAGTGGGACAGTTTGAATTGTATTTCATGTACTTCTGTTTCTTTTAAATTATTTGTTAACTCTCTCCTTTTCTCAAACACAATTTTTTCCACTAGTGTTCATTAATCAAAATAACGTATTACGTAAATATTATGTGAATACTTACATGCTCATGATGCTGAGCAAAGACCTTTCATGATTTCCGGCATGCCGATGCGCGCGCATTAAAAAAATTCCATTCGGATGCGCGCGCACCCACCCGCGTCGGAAATATGCAGAGTGTGTTATGGCAGAGGGATAAAATTGTGTGACGACGTTACACATATTCACATGTTACTAACCTTCAGAGGACTTTCACCAAACTTCACCACGTGATTTAGTTCGACATTTTCTAACGAAATAGAGAATTTTTTACCGAGGACGTAAAAAAAGTCCTCGGAAGAAATTTACGTCCTCGGAGAAAAGGTGTTTTTTCATACCATAGTCCTCGGAGGATAGGTGAAACACACACACCCTTGTGCAGTCCAGTCCAATACGAAAATTCGTAATATTACAAGTTATCGTAATCTACAACTTATATTACAATTTTTCGTAATGTAATTAAATTACGAATACACGTAATATAGCAGATTGTAAGAGACTATATTACGAGTTTTCGTAATCCAAGACAAATTCAAGTATTGCAAGAAATTGAGTGGTGGGTAGCAAAGTATGACGTCAGTAATATATCAGATTTCACGGCTACTGATAGCACGCGGTCAGTTTGGTCAGTTACGCTTATCAGAAAGCATGGAAATTCAAGAAGAAAGTATCGCCAGCGATGGGTGAGTGGACAATTTCTTTTTGTTATTCTTTTATAGGAATTTTCCCAAGGATAAGACCAATTTTCCAGTAAATTTCAATATTCGCTTAAGCATGTCGCATTGGTCTATATCACCCGAACTCCCTACTTTTCTTCCGAAGTCTACCCTAAAAATCACACCCTTGTCTCATAATTCAACTGTTCGTGCAATTCATATTGAAATACATGCAGAATCCAAATCTGGGTAAGAGTCGTACAAGTTATCGCCCGTGACATCTCGTAGTAAACGTCATACTTTGCTACCCGCCACTCAGTTTCTTGCAATGCTTGAATTTGTCTTGGATTACGAAAACTCGTAATATAGTCTCTTACATCTGCTATATTACGCGTATTCGTAATTTAACTACATTACGAAAAATTGTAATTTAAGTTTTAAATTACGAAAACATGTAATATTATGCTTTCTCGTAATCTTACGTTTTTTCGTAATATTACGAATTTTCGTATTGGACTGGACTGTGTGTGTGTGTGTGTTTTTTTGGTCATCAAATTTAAAAATACCTGAATGAATTTGTCTAAAGAAATTTATCTTTGTTTCTATCTATGGACCTGATAAACTCCATTCCAATTGACTTTATTTTTTGTAGTTTTTAAGACGGGATTTAAGATCTTAGATTTTTTTGTACCTTTTAAAATGAAAATTTCAAATCATGTAAGGATTTTTTCTGTATCAAAATCAACTCAAAAGTTATTCAAACAATATACCTTTTGTTATGGTTTAATTAGAATAAAAATATATAAATGAAAATTAAATGCTTACTTTTTGTACATCGATAAAACATAATCTTAAGATGTACTTCTACGGATAAAACGAAATTATAAATGTAACTGAACACTCGATCAACAGGTTTCAATAAATTTAAAATGTTTCCAAATCTTAAAAATAAAATTCAGAACAAAAAGTATACACTGAAATGTACAGCGCTGTTACATTGCAGAATGTCATAATGACGCAAAATGTAATAAACTGAGATAAAAGTTACATTTTGTATTATTACATATTCTTTCATTACATATCAAAGCGAAATACATTATGAAATACAAAATGTATAAACAATTTCATATTGAGTACAATTTGAATTTATCTAGACGCAATTTTTAAAAGCAATGGAAAATGTAATCATCTTAATTAATTGCATTTTACGGCGTTAAGCATACAGTTTGCGTTTTAACCCTCCACTTTTTGTGTAGGTACCAGACGACATAATAAAGATTGGACAAAATGCACGGGGGGAATAAACAAGCAACGTTTCTACAAGTATTATACCCATATAAGTTGTTTTAGGGGGGTAATCTTTGCTTAAATTAGAGTATACATGTATATAATTTCGAAGTGATATCGATGATGCATATATTTTCTAAATAATAACCTTCAGTTTACAATTTGTTTGTGTTTGTTGTCAGGGCACATCGACTAAAAAGGCAAAGTAAGTATTCAAATCATTTCTGTTTTGGTTTTAATTTGGAAACAACAAATATGTAGCATCCTTAAGTTCTTGAAGTTAAAATATATTTTTTTATTTTTTTTACAAGCTTGTCTTATTATTTTCTGTATGCAGTTGCAATTGGAGATTCAAATCCGTTCGGACCCGGAAGTGAGTATCCTGATTTTTCTTTGAATTTAATTCTCATGATAGGCTGTTTAAATATACATGTATCTTGGAATAGGTATTATGTAAAATTTCAACAAATTTACGCCGCTATACATTTAGATTAATTAGAATGACAAATTTTCAAGTTTAAGATTGTTTTTGTATGGTTATTATGTTTATTTTATATATTTGCATATATTTCAGCTTGTCTGTAAATATATGCCGTTATCAAAGCTCTCGTTGTCATGATATTGTTTGAAGCTAATTTTGATGGTGTTATTATATGTATGTTGTTGATTTGAAATAATGGTATATTTAATGGATTAATTTGTGTATCAGTTAGCTGCGAAATCCGGAAATTTTGTCCGGAATTTTTTAAACAAACCGTTTTTCACTCTGAACTTTTAATACCCACACTTCCTTTTTCTATCAATGCCGATAACCTGCAGACGGTTTAGAAATTCAGAGCTAAAATTGTTTAAAATAATGGTTAAGTAAAGGACATTTGTGTAAGTTTGTTTGAATAATCAGTATTATGAAACGCTTTACTAAGAATACATTTGAAACCTGGAACGCTTTTGATGGCTTCACAATTTTTGGATTTTCGGAGATTATTTGGTGACAAAGTACAGCATGCTCTAAAGGTTAACGAATGTGCCGGTACTAACATTCAGTTGTGTATTCATACATGTACCTATCTCGAAATGACAAACTTAACTTTTAAGCAAACTGTATAAGCATGTCATTTATAAGGACAAGATGGAGTGAGAGAATATTTATAAAGGCATGTCGGATGAGAGGCACAGTCCCAGGTTTGCTCCGGGGAAGGAATCGATCTGCGACGGAAAGAAACCGGAAATATGCACCGGAAGGGGACCTAAAATTCCAACCAATCAACAGGTAAAAATAAAATATGTCATAGGACGGGACACCACTAAATTCAATTAACATTTGGCCATTATGTAAATTATGTTGAAGAATCGTTGAAGGAAAATATATTGATTGGTTGAGCACTATTATACTAAAATAAATCAAATATCTAAGACTCAGCCAGTGAGCAATTTTCTATATTTGGTAATGATCGCCATTTACTAAGCGAACCTAACAATTCACTAAAAATGAAAAAAAAGTACTGAGACAGTACGGGGTCAAAATCAACTTCCTGCTAGATTTTATTTTCTGACACCCAAGTTTTTTCATTTTATTTGAAGTAAAGAAATAAATTAGTTCTTTTCAGGAAGTACCGTAAACAATGCAATGCTATAGAAGAGTGGTTTGTTTGCCATATCACTTTCTTCAGTTTGATTCAGAATATTTGTAATTTGATAAGAACAATTTATGCACTCTTTCATTTAGCAAAGGTTTTATTCATGTGTTCTATGCAGGGCTTCTGTTTTGAAGCCTTGACCAACAGTAAACTATAGTGGTAAGTAACAGTACACCGTCTAAAAATCACAACAATAAAATTAAACATCCGTTACTAAAATACATGCAAGCTGAACTTGCTGGGGCCGGTAGGTCATTTGGTAAATCTAAACTAATTTTTATGGTGACTTCTGCAAATTTAGTTCAGCTGTAGATATATACAGAATTGGTGGGTCTGACATGTATATGGTTTGGGTTGAAAATAGATCACTAATACAGGAATTCTGTGGAAAACAGATAGCATGCATTTAATTTTGAGGGGGGGGGGGTTATTTGAGGAGACCATGCTCATTCTGACATGGAAATGTGCATAATTTTAAGTGGGGTCTAGATCATGCCATACTTAGTGGACCTATTTCTGAAGCAAATTAATAAAATAGTACAGGGATTCATGTATGGGATTAAATAATACAGGTCCGATAATCTTTGTTTTAGCTGAAAATTTGCTTTTGGCTTCTAAGACAATTTCCAAAGAATGAACCATATGTTAAGTCAGTAAGTACAGTTAGAGAATGTTGATATTAAAAGTGCATTTTAGTTATTACCAGTATACCCTGGGGACTGAAGTAAGGATTTAGATTTAAGGATTAATACTGTGTTGACAAGTGCTTACCCTCTTGATGTCACATTTAGCTTTCAATTTTTGAAAAAACTTCAACATTAATGATATTACAGAGGATTATAATAAATAAATGAGATTTTAGTATTGTTGAGCCGTACTTTTTCGATTTTATCTTGCGGGTAGGAGGGGATCATGCGTATACTGACATTATTCGAGCATGTCATGATGTGTGCAATGAATTTCGAGTTTCTCTCAGCATTAGGATCAAATACACTGTACGTACAAGGACAAATTTAGTATTCCTAGACCTGGAAAAGTGACACAGTGCTTAAAGTTGTAAGGATAGCTAGGGACAAGATTAAGAAACCCAGGGGTCTGCTTTGTAGACTAATTGAAAGGTCAACGGTTGAGATGAGAGAATAGAATCATTTATAGTAAGAAGTTCAAGACATTCTCTTTCCAAAGACTATCAAGATTAGTAAGATCAGGTCATCATTAGGCATAAAACATTTCAAGAGTTAGCTCCCATATTGTTGTCACTTACAATCTCGGGGGGGGGGGGTGTGTCTAATTCATACAGATAACATTGCATTAGGAAGCATTCTGTACACTCATGTTTACTCATGAAATTACTCATGAATTATTTTTGAGTAGGAAACTAGTTTTGATGCATGTGCATTATAACATCATATTAAAAGCAAAACATGCAGATGTACACCTTGAATTCATCATCCGCATTTTACAGGGCATGTCCAGGGGACAGTTTCGACTATTAATCCAATTCTTAGTTCTTACAACACTGCAGTATACCTACAATGTAGGGCTTAAGAATTCTACAAATAATTATTACATACCCACAAGTATCAGTCAAGGACATCATAAGTGCAATAAAGATAAATAATTTGAAAATTTGACTTAACTAATTAAATACTGGTAGGTACATTGTCCCAAAGTATTGGAGGGTTTCAGAGATCTCAATTCTAAGGTTAATACTAAGTTGTTAATTCAAAATTATACCAAGTTGTTAATAAAAAAAAGAGGGGGGGGGGTATGGGAGCAGTGCAAAAAA